ATAAAAAATCGTAAAAAAATTATAAAAATCGTAAAAAAAGAGTATAAAAATTAATGAAATATTTATAAAATAAAACTTTAAAAAAAATTATTATTGGATTAAATACTCGATTAAGCCATTCTCATATCGTGTGATTATGGGCGAGATGATTATTAATTGAATCATACTTTAGAAATAAAATAGTAATTATCTTTTAGAGAAACTTATTTATCTTGTACTTGTATTTAAAAAAACTTGCTTTTACATTTTAATTAGTGTCACTATTATGCAAGTATGTAACTAGTATTTATCTATTTATTTTCATTGTTTGAAATTAAAGTATGTCACTATTGTCTGATCTAGTCTGATCCACCTACTGTTTTTTATTTGATCTTATCCATATACATGGGGCCTAATTTAATCTCCGCTAGTTTATTTGAAGTTAGAAAAAACTAGAATCATGATCAATACTCAAAATTGTCAACAGAGGAGAAAATAAATGCTCATCCACCGTTTTCATGACAATATGACTCGTCAACTATTTCTTCTCGAAACTTGTCTACAAAAAACACAAACGGTTCTAAATAGGATTAATGAGTTCCTAAAAAATACAAATACGACTACTACTTTTTAAATTCCCTAAATAGGACTAAACATTGATTGTCTACCCTAAATACCCCTAAGAGTATTAATTCATAATGAAATGCTTTTATGCATAATAAAATCATAAAAAAATCGTAAAAAATTATACAAGTCGTAAAAAAAGTATAAAAAATTAATGAAATATTTATAAAATAAAATATTAATTTTTTTTTTTTAAAATAATACGAGTAAAAAACAGTAAAAATCCATAAAAAATTAAAAAAAAATGGATACCTTTCCCACCCTATGACCCTAGTTAGCTTTTTTCCGTTTTAAACACGTACCGTTTTTTTGATAAAAAAACACGTTTAAAAAGGGGGGAAATGTCGGTCCGTTTAAAAAGGAAAAAAACTCCTACTTCCCGTATAAAACGTATTTTTCCCGTATTTTACAAAAAAACATAAACATGAATTGACCAATTGAATGAATGCACTAAATGCATAGAAGATCAACAATAGTGTAAAAGTAAAAATGAAAACGCCCTCCACATGATCTCGTGTTTTTGTATTGTTACAGTGCAATTATTAAATACTAAAATTAATTGCATGATGGCTAAAACTAGCATCCTGAAATACTAAAACTTACGTAGAAATATACTACAAGATTTCTGATGTTTTTTCAAGCTAGCATATCAAAATTAAGATTTTTCTAAACCTACCGTTTTTTTAGCATAAACTTTTACAGAAACAATAATAAGTGTAGCAATCACACAACTTTTGTCATATGTCATCTGTCATCTTAATAAAAATGATGAGTTTAACTTGAGTGTTATTTGATAATCATATAAAGCTAATGATTTTTTGACATTATTTTTCAAAATTATATCTTGGACTTAATTACTGTTTTTATTTTTGTCATCGACTTATGCAATTACGAACTATTCTTGTATGTAGTAATGAGATTTACTACTTGAATATGTGTATACTTTTGTTTCTTTTTTACTATATATGTTATTTTATGAAATATATCATTTAAATGTTCAAAATAATACCCGCACTTTTCGTCCGAATTTTTGTAATAGACAACGTATTATACACGTATACGTATTTACACGTTTGTTAAAAGTCAACGTTCTTTTCAACAAATTTTGACCGTTTTTTTCATTCATGTTACCGAATAAAACACGTACGTATTAAACCTCGATTAATTCCCGTACCGTATTTAACTAACTAGGTTTCCCACTGCCTTCCAGCACCACCACCTCCGATTGGTGAAATTTCTTCTACTTTTGGTAAAAAAAAATGCCCTCTTTTTCTGAAAATACCAAAAAGATGGCATAATTACTCTTCAATATGCCAACATTTTCATTGAATATGCCGTCATTATGAATTATTTAAAATGTTGCCATATTTTTCTCCGGTGATGGGAGCTGGTGGTGCTGGGGGGTGGCAATGTTTTTTAAAATTTTACGATTTTGGCATATACTAAAATTATACTAGTATATTTTGGCATTATCAAACATTAAAATGACAATATTGTAGTCATAATTAACTATATTTTCCAAACATTCATGACAATAATTATTCCTATTTAAGAAAACTAGGAAACATAACATTCTTAGTGGTCCTTTGGAGGGCCAAAATATAGCTGAAAAGCCTTAAAATGCAAAAAAAGGACCAAACACCCATTAGATGGACTGTTATGGCTGATTATTATTTTCAGCCAAAAAAAAACAACCCAATAATACTTACTTTTCCTGCTTAAAACTATTATTGTATGGTTGAGTGGGTGTAATTACTTTCCTATCCATCTTTTATAGAGTCAGTATCTTAGATACATATTCAGTCCTGGCTACAGATGGACAACTTTGATTTCTTATGTTTGATTTCAAATATTTGCCAAAGATGATGAACGTGTGTACTTTAAGAGCTAATTGTATTTTTAACTATTAATCTTATAATTCAATTGAACAAATAATTAGGTCTAAAAGCTATAAATAACAGTGTACAAAGAAAATAATTAACTCTAAGAGCTAATTAACAGCTTCTTTGTATAAATTATAAATTAAATAACAGTATAAAATACGTATAAGGGCTAAAATAATACTGGTATTTTCAACGTAAAAGTAAGAACACAATTTCCAAGTAATCAGTAAATTAAGTAATCTTATAATTATCTAACCAAGCAAATATTATTCGCTAGCAAAGTTCCTATCCATTTATTTAACACAAATAAACTAATACCCTTCATGGTAATTCTACATTTCAATCATTCATTTCAACCAACATATTACCAAACACTTTTACTTCAGTAGATTCAACCTTTTCAGGCTTTTCAGCCATTCCAGCCATTATCAAACATGCCCTTACTTTGAAACTCCACATCTTTTTACTCCTTTTCAAAGAAATTTCTTAACTTTAGATATTCTAACAGATACACATATCTTATAGATCAACATATCTCATAAATTAACAATCAATACTATTTTTTTAACCGAACAATTAATACTATATGAATTCAAACAACCAAAATACTCAAGTTACCTTATACAAATAAATACACTTCTAATTTGATCCATAATTCCAAAGTATATATGTGTGTGGGAATGGCTAGTCTACGTTGACACGTAGACTCTGTCTCCTGTTTTGCTACTTCATTTTAAATAAGATAATGATCTATGTCTCCTGTTTTGCTACATTATTTAAGTCGAGTATGCATGCAATTTTAAAAGTAGAAAAATATCTTTCATGGACTTTCTCGCGTTTGAACCAAATAGTGATAAGGATGGCTAGTTGTTTTTTTTTAAATGAGGATTGCTACTGGCTAGTTGATAAGTGAGGGATCATGCATTCATGCTATCTCAAGTGTATATCATTAATTAGTTCATGTCATTACATTATTAGTTTATCATATTTCAGGTGATTCCAACTTCATCGGATTAATTTTGAGCTCCCAAAAAATCACCCTAACCTTTAAGAGAAATAAATCAGAGTCACTTGAACAATCGGTTAGGTTCTGTATGTCCATGTGCACACCACTCTACAGATGAGACGAATAGCTAATTGCGCGACTATTCAAGCTAGCCCTGAGGTTCGAGAATCATCATTTGAGAAAGTTCTCCCAAACTCGTCCCCTTGATTACTTCAACTCAAGACCTTTTTCATCTTAAGTATGGTGTATGATCCACTTGAACCACTCCAACTTATCGGTGCCATTTATACTCCCTCCGTGTCTTATAATTTTTTCAAATTTGACGACACGTGAAATAATTAAATAAAAATTGTGTGATTGAATTTTGTTTAGAAGAAAGAGAAATAGTAGGAATTAGAAATTAATTGATTAAAAAGAAAAGAGACAAAATTTTAAGGTCACCGAACACATAAAAGATGACAAAGTTTTAAAGGACATAGAGAGCTATATATTAAACAATCCATTATGTTGAAAAAATTATTTGGGGTGGTAAAATGCCTACCATTTATTCCTCGCCGTCCTACATTATGTTTTCAAATTCTAGCCTATCATCTATTGATATTCCTTTCAGCAAGTACTTTACTACTGAGACTAAAATTGTTAAGTGACAATCCAATTGACATAGATTCTCGGAGGATGGTGACTAGGGGCAGATTAAATAAGGGGTTTTTCCAACTGGCAGGACCAAGATGGCTTGCCAGAGCAAGACTGTCTTTTATGATATGCAATAGATACTACTAATTATAGGTTGATTTTTTAGATACCACGTATTATTCAAGATTTCAAAAGGTATATAACTTTTGGATTCTTTAATTTTTGTACTTTAAATATCACAAAACTTATATTTCATTGAACTGTCTAGTCTATTTGTATTTCATTATATAAATACATATAGAAAAGTAACACACATTAAATACATAACCCAAGATTCTAAGAAATAATTAATATACTATGAAATGTTGCCATTTGTTTTATTATGTTCAAACACTTTCGAGTTATCATACAACAATAGTTCACAGTAACACAAACAACCAAAACATTAGAAGTAATTAACATATTATAACATAACTATATTATTATTACAAGTCAACAATTTGAATTACATTTTAATTGAACTGATTCAGATATAAAGCTTTCAAACAACCAAACATACATATTAATATCAATTGAAATATCCAAATCATCCATTCCATTGTGACATTAATATCTTCATTTTCTCGGATATGCAAGTTTCCTAGTTTGCTGTCATGAAAAAACAAAGACATTAGTAAAGCGGGAAGCTCATCATCAAATGAGTTGATTCTCCTAAACAACATACCTTCAATGTCTTGAAGGAACAAACACAGAATACATGTATTCCCATTTTGTTGAACTTATTTACCTCTAATCTTAAATTTCTGGTACTTAAAATGATAAATGTTCTGATCATTGAGAACATAATAATAATATTATGCCAATAACATCAAATCATATGACATGAAAACGTCAGGTCAATTGAATGACCGAATTAAGTTCAAAATAGACAGGTTTCAAACAAAATAGTTTAAATGTCACATCGGCAAACAACGCTGCTTAGCAAAAAACACAATTCCAGCCTTCAGTCTTTTCTGAAATATATTTTAGTAATAGCCTTAATCAAGATTTCCTTGTTTTATGAATGTCTTCAATTTCTTGATCCACGTGATAACGATTTGGCAAAATGCGTATGCTTCACTGAAAAATCCTCAACATCAACGACTTGTCTAGCAACCCTGCTCAATATAGGGCTATTGTTTTTATGTCCTGTCGAACCAATCTGCCAATTAATTTGAGTAGTAAATATCAATTGAAAAAAAGTAAGTATATTTGAAGAAAAGTGTAATCATAAGCAAATAATTGTTAACATTAACTACCACATAGTTCCTAATATTTGAAGTAAAGTTTTCCTTCCCTTGTACCCATTAGAATTCTTCTTAGTTTGCACTTTAAACAATACTTGTGTATCAACGAATGCCTCTACTTCGGGTGAAAATTTTTCGAATCGTCCATTGTTATTCTGTAAAGAACAAAAGTGACACTTAATAACAACTTTGACTAACTGCTCCGCATGATTTTTTTAGCATTTGCTCAATCGATCTCCTAAGGTCATACCCTCATATTTCTCTGCAGTGTGGCTGCTGTTTTACCAATTCATTGCGTGCATTGTTTATCCCACAAAACAAAAATAGTATTACTTGAGTGGTCCATAACTCTGAGATCAATCTTATACCTAAATATGAATTTCGGTTGTTATACTACGATTTAGCTCGTTACTAAAATAAGCACTTAACATTTTGTGAACAAAAAATGTACCTAAGAACAACTTCAGTAGAATCACAACCATTACAATAGAAACCATCACCTCTTGGAGTAACCTTGCGACTACAATTTTTGCATGATGTGTAACTCCACTCCTTATAATTGTCAAAGGCAACTATATCTACAAATGTCCAGTACCTACCATCCTAAATAAAAAATTAACAGTTAGTATACGTTTTAGAGAATAGTGTATTTTATTGATTTATATACTACCTCATCAATTTTGAGCAAGTTCTCAATACTTTCTGGTCTGACATTGCCATTACTGATGTCTTTAGCAGTGGATTGTGATGAGTATGTGATGGTTAGAGTAGCAATAACTTCTTGACCGGTAGGGGGAAGGGGGAGGTAACCTGCTTAGGAACAATGAGAAAATGTATTCGATTTCAATGATTAGTTTAATACCCATTTAACTGATTTTATGGAATTTATTTTCTGGAAGATTAAACATGAACACATTTAACTTTTATCACCAACTTATCACTGTTACGTGTTTTTGCTTTAAAGAATTTATTTTACACTAGTTTATTGAATTCATGATCCTATAGGGCATAAAACTATTAGTCTAATTATAAGTACATTATTGGCTACAATGTCCGTAAATATTTTATAGTTGAGGTCGTATATATGCACAAACAAATAATATCAGTCCAAATTCTATATCATCAACATAATGTGGTAGTTGCGTAAAAAAACCTTTTAAATAATGCTGGTAAAGTTTTTATAAGTTAAAACTTGTAAAAAGAATTACCACTAATATGTAAATTCATGGTGTAGTCATGTTCAAAAGCTATTTATTATCACTGTTATGCAGAAAACCTATATATTAACTTTGTCATAAAATTTTCTTCTCATCCATATTATCACACTTATTGATAGCTGAAACATATAGTGTTTCTACAATTGTATAAACTTATAGTGTTTCTACAATTGTATAAACCAATTACATTATAAACAATTGACAACTGTCTATTTTTGAAACTTAATAAATTGAGTTTTGTTTTGCGCGCAGTCACGCATGTTATGGCAATGGAAAGACTACATGTTCAAAGGCACCATATTCTATCCTACAACGTAACTTTGAATGAATAGGTATAATCGTTTAATTTACATATGATAAAGATATTGAACAACCATATTCAATATAAGTAAACCAAAACCTCTAAAATCTCTAAAATGCTTTACAATCAAAACCTCAAAAAACTGTTTATTCAAAAAACATTATAATTAATTTCTGAATAAATATGGTATTCAAAATACATATTCTTGCGTGAGTGTGTTGTGTATAAATCTTTTCAAAGTATTGTTTTTTCAACTTTTTTAAAATATAACTTTTCATCTATATGATATGGAACACACACACGCGCGCGCACGCACGCACCCACCCACCCACCAACCCACCCACCCACCCACACACACATACATACTATGTATATATTTTCTAAATTGGGAATAAATATTTGTCTCTTATGATGAATAACATACCTTTAATTTCCCGAAACTCCATTACTTCTTGATGCTCTCCATTAACTATGAGTTTGCTAACATCATGCACATTAGACATGTAAATCCCACATGTTTATTTAGAATTAACCATCAATATCATAACATTGTCAAGAATACATTTATATCTATATGTGTTATGAATAGATAAAAATATGTAACCTTGGTATTTTCTGGCTCGAAAGCACTGCAGCACAAGTATCATAGGGTGAATAGAACTCTTCTTGTAGGCTTCATACGGATTAATCATTTCGCCAAAGAGAGTGCATGTTATTATATTATTTCTACAAAAAGCAAAAGAAAAATTTAATGTGAAAAATGAACTGCAAGTATACAGTGAACTTGCATGTCATAAAATGTTGCTTACTCTTCATCCGCAAGCGGTATTTCCAGCAGTTTTGTAACGCCATTTTTTTACTATATTCATCAATGCATTGCCATTAACCTTTCCGGTAACATATGTGGTAATGTTTTTTAACAAAAGAGCAGTCTAAGAATTCAAAATTTAAACACCATGTTAGACATAAAAGAAAACCAACCATGCCCTTCATTTTCATCAACAATGTCGATCATGTCCTTGCAGAATGACAAAGGACATAAAAGTAAAAAGCGAATGAGGTATGTTCTCTCGTTGAAGTTCAAATGTCCCAGTTTTGTTCACAAACAGTCATTTGTAAATGGTTCTAGTAGTGTGAAATGGCATGTAGTTCTCCTGAACCATGAAATTTCGTATGGCATATATATGCCTAACTCTCCTTAAAAGTATTCCTGAAAAGTGGCATCTGGTATTTTTTTATGCGTGAGTGAACCCTTTCTCCCTGATACAAAATAATATAAAGTTGTATGTTAAAAATTTCATGTGTATCATTTGATTATCTTCATTATTATGAACTGGATGAATGCTTGCTCACCTCTTCATCACAAAAATACACTCAATATTTGGTGGCAGTTTGACGTTGGTGACGTTGTAAACGCGAACTACACGAACCCTGATCATGCTCCACATTCCTACCATTTTGGTAAGTGTCTAAGTACGTGAGAGAGATTAACAAAGATGAAGTGTTTAGGAGCACGATAGGATGTAAACAATGTTGTTGGGGATGTGTATATATAGTGATCCAGAGTCATTGAAATATTGTTACTATTATGTAATTATTATTACTGTCTTTATCCATAAATTGTTTTGAAAGTTGTCATGCTATGTGTGATGGGAATACAAAAGAGCATTGGTGCAAAGATTAAAATAAAAAATATTATACAGAACTATATAGTGGAAGTGCTCGAATGATAATTTATTCAGAAAGTAAAATCAATATTATATATATAAAAGAGAAACTTTTTAAGAGCATACAAAGCGCCACATAATCATGCCATGTCATTATATATATTAATTATTTAGTTAATTTGTACCTTGTATTTTTATTAGCTAGATTCTATTTTTGATTGCACATTGATATGGAAACAAAAATCCGTAGAAAGTACTATATTAAACAGGCTCTATTTTAGGCTAAGTTTATATATGACAGGCTCTATTTTAGGCTAAGTTTATATATGACAGACTCTATTTTAGGCTAAGTTTATATATGACAGGTAATCTTAGCCAAAAATACAATACGTTTTAATTTCTATAACAATTAAATGTTATAGTATACGTTTAGGCTTAGAATTATACGTTTTAATTCCATTATAACAATTAAATGTTATCGTATACGTTTATACATTTCGGCTTACAATTTAAAAAAAAAACAGGCTCTATATTTAGACTATTTTACTTAATATATACTCCGTATTAAATTTCTATGAATATCCATCTTCATAAGATTATATTAAACGTTTAAAATCGGGTTCATAGCAATTATATTTACTCGAGATGCTTATGTAGAAGATCAATTTAACTATTTTTCATATAATCTTTTTCTGGCTTCACAAATGGAATATATTTTACATATTTTTTCATGATTCCACTCATTTAGCTCATTCAGTCATAATTTAATCAATTTGAGTAAAATAAGTTAATTCAATTTATTTTAGTATTATCAAACAGGCTCTGTATTAGACTAAGTTTATTTTTCTTTTAAATCACATTACATATGATCCGAAAGAAATCAAATTTCAAATTAGCTAAATTACATCTGCTCGTGCATCGCACGGGCTTTAAAGCTAGTCAATAAATAAAGTAATAGATGTACGGGAATACGGAAGAGCATGGATGGACATTTAAAGTTGTGTTGGCTATTCCACACGTGCTCTTGGGAATACTACACCAGCGAATTAATGCAATCAATTAAACTCATAATCCAGTAAAATTGGGCAATACGGTATTACAATGTAGTCTTGCAATGGAATAGGCGGGAACACTGTAGCTAAATCAATTTACTATTATATTATAATTACAGATATGAGTAATATTACATATGAAAATATATTCATCAATCCAATACTTTCTTCGCGAAGTGAGCAATATAAACAAACAAATGATTCTCGATCTTTAATTTCTGTCAACGTCCTAGCAGTGCCCCTTGATTTTAAACTAGTCACATCGTCAAATGTTTTGTCAAAAACTTGGATTGTACAAGACCGCATACAAAAAAACACAAACAATAGTTGTATAATGTGAACCTCAACGTGTAGCTCCGGGCTGTGCTAAATTATTATTTTTTGGATGTTATCCTCTCTCGGTTGTATGTTCACCCTTTTTAAAAATCTCTATTATGTTTCATTTTGTTTTGGGCGGAACTCAAATTTTCTTTTACAAGAGATCCCACCATGTTAGTAATCATGAATAAATATTTAAAGAAGTCACCCACAAGCTTATTCTTTGTGCAATAGCTACCACAACTAATTGCATTTGGTGAGCAAAATAATGAATGTGTCTTGTGTATGATTTTTTTTATTTAAGATACGAGTTTTCAATTCATGAAGCTCGTCACAAATATTAAAAGTCATATCATATCTTTGACCTCAGCATGGGACAAAGATAATCCATACTTAGCAAAAAAAAAATCAATGTCACTTTTTAAGGAAAGTGTAATGATGTCTATCTCTCAACAATAATCATTTATTCATTTCCAGAATTATCACTTTATTTAATAATTACTACCCCCAATCAGCACAAATTATTTAAAGAATCAATGTCACTTTTCAAGATAAAGATTTTCGTTCACTATTCTCCAATCAGCACAAATTATTCTTAATCTTTTACTTTATATCCAACTTTATCAAAATTGAAATTTGCTTATGACACTAGTAGAAAAATAGCCTATAGTGACACTAATTTAGTGTCACAAAAACTTTCTGTGACACTAAAAATTTGTAGTTTTTGAATATGTAGTTTCTGAATATGTAGATTTTTAAACATGACTTTGTAGTTTTTGAACAAAACTAAAAATTTGTAGTTTTTGAACATGACTTTGTAAAATTTTTAATGTAGTTTCTGAATATGTAGATTTTTATTTACTATAACTAATTTTATTATTAACAGAAGTCAGTTAACTTTATGACCAGTCAAACGTCGCAATCTAAGTGTGATTTTTTACCTGGATATTTAGGTTTCAAGAAAATTACAATTTTAGGCCCGTAACTTTCGGTCGTGGCCGTTATTAGTCCTGTAACTTTTTGGTTGCAGATTTGGTTCCGTAACTAATAAGAGCCCGTTTGGTAGCACGAAAATCGGCCTTTTTGGCTGATTCTGCTGAAATTTATGAAATTCTGGCTGAAGTGGCTGTTTTGGCTGATTCAAGAAAAAAAAATTTAAAAATATATTTTATTAATAAATTATAGAAACAATTACATGTAAAAATAGCTAAAATAGTTCTCTACAGTAACTTCAGCCAATACAGCCAGCAAAGTAACTCCAACCTTACTTTTTCTACTTATTACACAATTCAGCACACAAAAGTAAAAGTTAAGTGTTTGGTGAAAAAGCTGGCTGATAAGCCGAAAAAAGAGGTCTCCAAACGGGATCTAAATCTTTGTAAATTTTTTAATGTAGTTTCTGAATATGTGAATTTATTATTTACTAAAATTAATTTTATTATTAACAAGAGTCAGTTAACTATCTGACCAGTCAAATGTCACAATCTAAATGTAAACTTTTACCCGAATATTTACATCTCAGGAAAATTGTAATTTTAGTCTTGTAACTTTCGGTCGTACCTGTTATTAGTCATGTAACTTTTTGGTTGTAGATTTGGTCATGTGAGTAATAAATCTTTAAAATTCAAGGATTTTCCATCGAAAAATACACTTTTCAGCGAAAATTCATTGCCAGAGACATCTTTTCCAACGAATTTATGGCCTGAAAGTGTATTTATTAGTTGCAGGACTAAATCTTTCTAAAGATTACAAAGCCTTGGAATCAAATGTATACACAATAAAAAAGGGAAAATTCCCTAAATGGGACTAAATGAAACTCTAATTTCCAGAATAGCACCATAACTTGAAAATTCCCTAAATAGGATTAGCTTTCCAATTATACCCTTGCTTTGTTTAATACAATTCATATTTCATTATATATTGTGGAGTAAAATATAAAAGTAATAACATAATTTTATTTATAATAAAATGTAAAAAAAAATAAAAAAACACGAAATAAATATTAAATAAAATTAATAAAAATAAAAAAAAATCTAAAAATAACAATTATAAAATAAAAAAATTTAAAATTTAAAATAAAAATTCAACCGGGAAGACAGTCAAATGATTTTCTGAAATGTACTGTGCATTTTATTTATTTTCAAAGTTTTCTTTTTAATCTTTTAATCTTTTACGGAGTATTATTTTAGTAATTTTTTTAAAAATTTCATAATTTTTTAACTTTTTACGATTTTTTGTATATGTTAATTTTTTTTGTATTTATTACAAATTAAAATATGATTATCTTGTTAAGTTATGGTAAGAGTATAATAGGAAGATAGGAGGATATACATTAGTCTTATTTTGGAAAGAAAAATAACATAGTCATATTTATGCATTTAGGAGCTAGTTTAATCCTATTTTGGGCTATTAACTTATAAAAAATTAAACATATATCTTGAGGTTATTTATTAGAAAAAATTACATAAATATTACTCCGTACTAGTTTAAACCTCACTAACAAAAATATGACTATTGGTTAAAGGGAGTTTACTAACTGCCTACATGCATTACTAAAAAGTGCTGTGAGTATTTGTAGTGAGTGAA